TTAAAAGGGAACCTAAATAGGCTTTTATCGGGAAAATTAATCGTCGCGAACTGATTTACCCCTGGCAAATCGCGAAATAAAGTCGTCGCGAATAAAAGTTGGTTTACAGTATTTATTTCGTGATTGATCAAAGTGATTCTATAAAAAGTTAAAACTAAAATCTAACATTATGATTTAATTAATTCTTCCAATTCATGTCACAATCTCTTCCGCTTTTAGAAAAGTCGGATTGGAAAAGAACACACTAAGTTAGCCTACATTTCATGGCATAAAAAAATCCGACGAACTCAATATTATTTAAATGGTACGTGTTTATTAACACACATTACAGTAATATCGTTTCCGATACACTTAAAACTAATATGACTCATACATATTATTTGTATTTTAAAAATTCTCAACAAAACCTTTCCCAACAATGTCCCTTAAGGTAAAACCCACTCAAAATTAAGGATTATTGTAATGTATTCTTTCTTGAAATAATAAGATTAACATCTTACATGTAGGTCGATCATTAACAACATAATTTGTCACAAAATACATGCAAATTTGTAAAGTTTTCGAATGATTTCTTTTTCGACAAAATGTTCATATTTAGACCTATATACGACTTTATTTCAATTCTTTAGGTACTCATTTCTTTGCGATATTACGCTAGTGGGAGTTTTCTTGAAGTCGTCGGAGATACTGTTGGAGTGAACAAGTCTACTGTTTCTCGAGTCGTCCGTAAAGTTTCTAGAGCCCTTGTTTCCCTGGCTCACCGGTTTATCAAATGGCCTGAAGATGACGAGCTTGCCATCATAAAAAAGAATTCTTTAATTTGGCTGGATTCCCTGGTGTCATAGGGCGTATAGATGGCTCCCATGTACGAATCCAGGCCCCATCTCAAAATGAACCAGCGTCTGTGAACAGGAAAGGTTTCCACTCAGTAAATGTGCAGGCGATCTGTGATTTTACAGGTGAGAGAGTGAGAGCTTTTCTTTGTTATTTTGAAATCTAAACTGTTATATTTTACTTTAAAAGAAGAGCATGATTTTTCAGGCCGATTTACCAATATAGTAGCTAGATGGCCCGGGAGTACCCATGACAGCCACATATTCCGTATGTCAGGAATAAGGCAGACTATAGAAGAGAAGTTTTACTCGATTAAGGATGGGATTGTTCTTGGTGACAGCGGTTACGCATGTAAAACCTTACCTCATGACCCCGTATCTAAGACCATCGACACAGGCCCAGGAACGCTTCAAATCGGCCCATTCGAAGACCAGGGTGACCATTGAGCGTGCATTTGGCCGGCGGAAGAGGCGATTTCACCTCCTCCATGCAGAAATACGGATGACACCGGAGAGGGTCTGCACAGTCATTGGTAAATGTACATAACAAGGCTTGAGCAGATGTCTTTATTTGATAAGCTGAGTAACATATTTATTTAGCATTCGCAAGTCAGGCAGGTAGCAACAGGGGGAGGGGGTGCCCCTTTTTTTCCCCAATACCGTATAAGTAGAATTTTTAGCGAGGATTTAATTTTGGCATTATTAGCGAGGGTGCCGAGATCGCTAAAATAAAACGTCGCTTAAAAATAATTAATTTAATTTGTAATAGCTTCTTTATTGTGCATTTTAAAATCGCTAAAATAACATCTCGCTAAAAATAAATTACCAGATTTTAAGGACAAATCGCTAAATTTGCGTCTCGCTAAAAATTCCACTTATACGGTATTACTATTCATTGGAAATATTCATTGAAAGACTGGTTGCCCCCCCCCCCCCTTGATACTACAGGAAATGGATATCAGGGAAATGTAGTACTGAATACAAAAAAAGGTACTGAAAGAAGTCGGCATTGAAAAAGAGTTGGCCTATACACCCCCCCCCATCCCGCTCTCCACCACGAAATAGGATTTTCAAGTTTGGACAGTCCCCCCCCCCTTTTTTTTGCTTTTCATCTTTTTTAGGTAAGCCAAAAAAATTTTCTCTGGCTGCCCCCCCCCCTCACTTTCAAAAACGATGCTACGTGACTGCAAGTAATAATATTGGCATTATTTAGATCTTGCCGGGTTAACATATGCATACATATCTTAATTTCAGGAGCATGTGCTGTACTTCACAATCTTGCAATTCTATTCCGGGAGCCACTTGTAGACGAAGATCAAGATTTGGACGTCGATGGAAATATTCAAGGGCAGTACAACGGACCCGAGGATGGGAAAAACATCAGAAATTACAATACGCAACATTATTTTTTAAGAACGTGCATGTATTTTATGTGCATTCAATTGAACGACATGAAAACAGTTAGTTGAGGTGTTCATTGGTATATACACTGGTGTATAGTGATTGTATTTTATTCATTTATTGTATTGTCATTTCTTTATGAATATTTATCAATATGCAGAGCTTCATGGAAAAAAAAAATGATGACAGTGAGTAGAATTATTTATTAAAATACTGAGAATTCGGCAACAGAAAGTGTTCTCTGATATTTATACAAACACTTTAAATGCATTTGTTGTTTCCAAAATCCTAAAGTTATATTTGAAGTGAAATATCCATCTATATGAAAAAGAAGAGAAAAAATCAGTCAATCTTCAGAAGACATATCCAATTCCCGTCTGAGCTTTTTGTTCATCAACCTGTAGTACTCTGTTGGCTCCCGTAGTTTCAGCTGTTGTTCCACCAAAACTGCGTACTGCATTTGAGTCACGTTTTCAAGTTTTACCCTCTTGCGCTGACCAATATTACCCACCTTTTTTGACCTATAATGCATGTGTTTAGAAAGTAACTATTGATGCAAGATCGAACTTTAACATTCTTGTTAAAATTTGCTAACATACCGCAATGCATGCAATCAAGAATTTCTGTTTAATTTTACTAATATTATAAACATGTATAAATATGTAATAACTTATTACATGTAATTAGTAAATCTAGGTCACTACACATACATGTATACGACAGGTAAGTGTAACCACTTCTATTGCATGCAGAACTAAACATTGTAATACATAATTAAGTTGATTAAGCTATTTACTGAATCAAAAGACATTCATTTACGCAAACTTTTCACAATTTATTTTTTTAGGAATAATAATTATACTTACATGTTTGGCTCTATGCTCGTCAACGTTGTAGTTGGCATTTCTGCTGCAGAAACGTGAACCTCTGCCGCCACGGTGACCACGTTTTGCGCTGGATCTGACAACTCATCGAGGACCTGCTCTTCTTCCTTAGGTTGATCGCATGGATTGGGATTGAGCAATTCCGTTAGCATACACACGGTTTGGGGGGAGCCCAAGATCTGTATGTTGCTTTAGTCTGTTTATTAAAAAAAAGATAATTCTTTTGTTTTAATTCTCTGTTTGCCATTACTCTCTAAATGCAAACACATTTCAATTTTACAAATAGATTGGAAGAGTCGAGTCCGAGGTGGAATGAAAAAGGGGCCGGGGCCGAGGAGGGGGTGAATTTGAGAGTAAACGAAAAATAGTCTTAGACCCCTATACCCCTAATCTCCTGTTACTGTTGACGATATCTATACTGGTGTCTCATTATATCGCAGTACTTAATTCTTTTGCATAAAAAGTATAATTTTAAATTTTTAATTTAACTTATATCAAATGATATTAATAATTCTAACTATAGCATAACTTTTTAGTGTCAAATCATTTTCCAAGCTAGCATCGTTTTATTTATGGTCTATTTTTAAAACAGGAAGTCTTATTTACCTCCAAAGTTGGAGAGTCTCATAGTATCGCGGAATGGGAAAACATGGAAACTTGTGGTATAGACTTCACTGTTTATTTTTTTATTTTACGATGTAATTCTACATAAAAAATAAACAATTATATACACTACAGACTTTCAAAACACGAATTTTATTCTGCATTTTATTATATTATAGATTCAGTGGTCTAAATATAGTAAAAACGGGAACTGAAATCTGTAAATTTACGTTTTATTTGAATAAAAACTTTTTTGACGCATGTTCCATTCTTTTTAGCCATCACAAAAATTTACATTCAGATGACAGACAGATAGTTTTATCCACAAAAATGATATGAGCTATGTATTTGATTTTTCGGAAAATACCGCGATACAATGGAACCCGCGTATATTTATTTCAACATTTTCTAGGTATTGTTATTACCCCCCCCCCCCCCCCTCCTTCCTATTAACAATAATTCAATACTTTTTTTTAACATGTTTGGTATGAATGTAAACTTACCAAGTGATTGTGTCTCAAACCCGGATAATCCAGTGAATGTCGGCGAATCTTTATACAAGTCAACGATCTTCTCACTGAAGTTAGATAGAGGCTTTGCGCAGGGGCCTCCCCCTGTCTTTCTTTGGGAAATTTTGCTAAGGCTGTACTCTTTCTTCGCCGTTTGGTGCATGTTTGTCCATTTAGTTTTTATTTATTTTGTTGAACGGCTTGCAATCCCCAAAGAATTTATTTGCGTGGTGATGTCCTCCCAGGTTTTCTTCTTTTTTTTCGTTCGTGATACTGTTTGTCAATTTACTGTTGAGAATATTAATATTTTTCTCCACTAATTCCGTTAACAACTGAATCTCTTTCGTGTCAAAATTCTTGCCGCGGTTTCTCATCGGTTTAGATAGCTGCTCATCTGTCATCTTTAGACTTTGTGTTGTTTTCTTCAAGACGCTCGCAGAATTGATAAAATGACGTAATTTCTATTTTTGTGTCATAATTTAAACGAGCGACCATTTTGGTGGAGTTTTAATTGATCTTATTTATTTAAATATCTATATATGATTTTTACAAAAGAAACGCCTATGGACACGCCCTTTCCGGAAATGGAAACGCAATGCTTTTTGGGATATTCTCCTAACATTAATTGATTTTAATGAATTCTTAAATATTTAATGATTTATTAATTAATAAGACTATAATAAAGGTTTTGTACAACACAATTTAATGCCTTCATTAACTAATGTATCATTAAGAATTTAATGAATCATTAGGCTTAATAATTCAATATTTACACTTGCAAATGTTTTGTCCTATATAAACATTACTTGAGTGGGTCGTTTTTACATTCCAATAAAACAGGTTTGGGGTCAAGAGGTCATATGATAAATAGCGCGCATGAATACATTGACCTCCTCAGAACTGGGTCACTACTTTTACTACGAACGTAAACAAACCCGGCTGAAATCAAATACAAGGCGTTGAAACACAATGTCGCATTAAAAATAAAATAATTTTAATACATAAAATAAAATCTGTTCAAAAAAACTTTTTTTTACATTACAAAAAACTTTTTTTTATTCATTTATCATAATACACGTCTGCTTTCAACCCCCCCTACCAAAACAATGGATGAGTTTGGCGATTTTGACCTCTGTGATAACGACCCATTGCTGTATCTTCTGTTTGACAATGATATCATGGCCGCTCTGGATCTCCCTTTTATGGCTCCAGCAAGCGTTGAAGAGACTGAAGAGGTCGAGAAGGAGCTGAAAATGTCTGATATGGAGGGACTTCCTAGCCCTGGTATGCCTGCCCCCCCTACTAAGAGATTCAAGTCCATGTCTGAGGAAAATTTGAAAGAATTTGAGGAATCCAGACAATCTGTCTCAACAAAACGAAATACCCAATGGGGAGTGAAACTCTTTCAAGGTACATAATTTTATGTAGTGCTTAAAAATAACAACAAACTAAAACAAGGAGTATAAATAATAAATAAATTGAACCAATGAAAAAAAAAACAATGCTGATATTAATATATCCTTGTAAATAAGGCAAAAGCATGTTCTACGAGTATGTTTACAGTAAAACAATACATTCACCAGCACAAAGGTATACCAGATTTTTCTCTGCAGTCTACAAACAGATGATTGTTTAATAAAGAATTAAAATGTAGGCCAACAGCTTAGCAAGCAAGCAAACAAGCAAACAAACAAACAAACAAACCAATACAGAAACTAACATATCAATATAACAAATCAATCAAACAATGCAACATGCAAACTATGAAACAGAACAAACAAAAAATTTTAGAAAATAAATAAATAATGAAATCAAAATCAAATGTTGAAATAAATTCCCTTTACAATTTATAGATTGGCACTTGGAGGTCTTTTCCGATGTTCTTGATTTCAAAATTGTCACTTCTGAGATCCTTGCTGAGAAATTGAGGAAATTTTATTGCGAAGCCAGACCCAAATCAACTCCAAAAAGGGCGGCAGAATTAACGGCTGCACAGGCAGAAAATTATCACAAGAATAGCTTAAAAAACCTCCGTGCTGCCATCAACAGACACCTTCAAGATTTAGGAAGATCAATAGATATTGTCCGCGACAAGGAATTCAAAACAGCGAATTACACATAAGATGGAATGCTAAAATCAATGACAAAAACTGGTGTATCGAGAGCTACAAAGCACAAATCAGTAATTCATCCTGAAGACCTTGAACGCATATCTTCGTATTTTCTTTCGGCTCCGCATTCCCCAATTGTCCTTCGCCAATGCGTTTGGTACAATTTGTCTATCCATTTAGTTACGCGTGGCTTAGAGTTTCACCATCAATTACAGATGGATTCCTTTGAATTTCACAAAGATGAGAACAATTTAGAGTACATTACGCTTCGACATGAAACGCAGCAAAAAAATTTCCAAGGAGGAATCGGATCAGATGAAGCTCCTGCGGGAAAGCGGATCTACGAGGTTCCTGGCAGTGATATCTGCCCTGTGAAGATGCTGCGCTTATTGATGAGCAAGACGGAGCCCAGTGCTAAAGGTCTTTTTAACACATGCTTTAAAGAAGCCCTGATGAACTCTGGATCTGATCTGTGGTATACATCTAAACCTTTGGCGAAGAGATCTTTCAGTGGATACATGGCGGATATTTGCAAGTCTTCAAAATGTCTCAAGTATTACACCCCTCACTGCTTGAGAGCCACTGCCATCACTGCCATGAGCGATCATGGCTTCGAGTCCCGACAGATTATGTTTATGAGTGGGCATCGCAATGAAGCTTCTTTGAAAACCTACAACCGAGAATTGTCCAATGAACAAAAACGCTCTGTAAGCTTATGCATGTCTTTACTTACAAATCCTGATCTAAACCGCCATCTCAACACCAACCTTTCGTGCAGTACCTCCACTTCGACAACCCCATCTGCTTCTTTTTCCGTTTCTCCTCGTAAACAAGACAGACCTTTCTCCCCCGTTCCAAATGAAAATCATCCTTCTTTCGATGCTAGTTCTTCTGTATGCACCAGAATGTCGTCTGATTTTCTCTCCAAGTCCGTTTTCAACCAGTGTGTTTTCAACTTCAAATAGACGCCTTGTGACCTCTTTACGTCAACGGAAGTAGTGACACTCCGCAAAGTTTTATTCGTATTTCTTATAATACACATTAATTCTCTTGTAATTTTTCTTCTTAAGAAAATATATTGTAAATGTGACTTAAACAACTGTTTATTTTTTAATCAGTATTAAATAAATAGTTGCATTACCTTGGAACTATTTTTTGTTACGTCATTTTAACTGAAGCGCTTGTCTAGGTCAAAAAAGAGGAATGTATGGAAACGCGTTGTGGGCAAAAACATAGCAACAAGTGTAAATATAAGAAATAAGGTATCATTTTTTGAGTTATATTGGGATGTAAAACCGGTTGGCACATGATCAAATCTTCCATAAAGCCCTTCGGGCTTTATGGGATTTGATCACGTGACCAACCGGTTTTACATCCCAATATAACTCAAAAAATGATACCTTATTTCTTAATTAAATTAAATGAACCGTTGATACAACAGGGTCCTGGTGTAAAATGTGTAGCCTTATCACTATTACGTAACACTCATTGAGTGGTCTGTAGAATTGGTGTAAAATGTGTAGCCTTATCACTATTACGTAACACTCATTGAGTGGTCTGTAGAACTGGTGTAAAATATGTAGCATTATCACTATTACGTAACACTCATTGAGTGGTCTGTAGAATTGGTGTAAAATGTGTAGCATTATCACTATTACGTAACACTCATTGAGTGGTCTGTAGAATTGGTGTAAAATGTGAAGCCTTATCACTATTACGTAACACTCATTGAGTGGTCTGTAGAATTGGTGTAAAATGTAAAGCCTTATCACTATTACGTAACACTAATTGAGTGGTCTGTAGAATTGGTGTTAAATGTAAAGCCTTATCACTATTACCGATAGAAGCCTTGTCTGATTTTGTTGAAATTAAATACAGCTGATTCCTTATTTTTCGCGAGTACTCATTATTGGAAATGGGCTCTTCAACGGCAAGCCCCGAGGATAATGATTCTCGAATGGATAGTTGATCAAGAGATTTTACATTGATTTCAGAAATTATCTAGTTTCACCTGTCATGCTTCTCGCGAAATTACGCAATAATTAAATCCACGCATATATTCAGGAATATACAGTTCCTGGTTCATTTTCTTTATAAAGTTTCATTGATATGGAAGATTAAAAGGCAGAGTTATGACTCCTGATGATGTTCTGAAGCACCTGACTGGTGAAATTAACATTAGACATACGATCCTCAGATTTGATATTCTCAAAACTGTAACTGACTAGAAACATAATTGTATTGACGCAAGCGTCAAAAATCGGCGTCAATCCAAATAATTGTTTTAAATGAAGCAACTAAAGATCGACTGTTCAAAGTGATCTCTTTTTAAAATATCTTATATTCATCTGTTAAGGAATCCGATCCATAATAACTCAGATGTAATTAATTTGAAGATATAACATATATATATTGACTGAATACTCGGTATATGAAGACATAATCTTCATGTTTTAGTCTCAATATGTAAGAGCGGAATGTGTCCTAATTTTTTACCTTCACCCGTCGCTGAAGAGTTATCCCCTATTACTTTTAATCAATAAAACTCAATTTAAAAAAATTGTGAAAAATAATATATTTATTTTTTTTTTATTTTCTTAATAATTATATGTATCTTTTCACCATGGCATTTTTTGATATTCATAGTATTTAAATTTTTATTTTAAAAAATCTGCTTTTCCCCATAGACCTCAATGCATTCGTTATTAATAAATTACTGCTGAGGTAATTATATTTTTGAAAATTTCCCATGGAAAATCCTTTTCTACCTTAAACTGCTTTGAATTAGTCTCAGAGTATCAAATATAGCATGGATATTTTAGGTTAGAAAATTATGTCCTTTTATGGATCGGATACTTAAATATATATCCAAGTGACATTAAACGCTCGTGCACGAACCTGCATGGTTTTCATAATTATATAATTCTTGTTTATTTTTAAATGTATATGTATAAGCAAAGTATCCCTGGTCCTCTGCGTCAACAAACCGTGGGCTTGTATAATTTTAGGTATTTACATTAAAAGTTTAGAATTAAAGTTAATGTTACTCTACAACTAGATATGCAGTGTAGTTTTAATTTAATAAAAACGCAACAAATATGTGGGGCTCCTTGCTCTCTCTTAGAGGAAAAAACTAATCTCCCCTTAGATCCGCCACTACATTTCTTCTCTTTTAGTTTCTTTGAGGTGTAGCGGGAAAATTCTTGGCACATTGTAAAACGCGTAATATCCTCGTCCGCTAGGGCCATTGTAAAACGCGCATTATCTGCTAGGGTAAAATCTTGTAATATTCTGTAACCTGCTACGTCTTTGGATGAATTAACATTAAACCATATTTCTGAAAATGTTTATATATGTAGATGTGAACACGTCATTTTAAAATAAAAACGTACTACAGCAAATCGTGTTTAAAATAGAGAAATTAAAATTGTGTAATAAACGTAATAAACATAAAGCGGTCTTTGCTTTAGGTCATGCCCAACACGTGTCCGAATTTTCTCCGCACCTAAACATTTCTTAGTTTGTCAATCAGGATTTGATGAAATATTTACCTCATTCTTTATTAAAAAAATTATGTTCATTGTGTGTTTTTGTTAAACATTTTAGACGCACTTTTTAATATACTATTATATTTATGTTAAATATTTTTATATAAATTGTTTTAACTCTACAGAAATGCATAGCGAATTCAAACAGCCGTTCATTCTGTTTCCTTTTTCTTTTTCCTTTTATACTGATATAATTTAATTCTGGTTGTAACGCTGTATTTGATTGGATAAAAATTATTTCATATTGTATAAAATGGGTTGCCTACGTCACAATGACTTGCGTCAAAAACGTATTCATCCGCCTGACGTTACATTCAAATTTTGTACAAATTGAAGTCATTTTGTTGGAACAATCGTTTTTTTTTCTTACATCAAATGAATGAAAATTAAATTATAAGCAATGAATTTAATAGCTACCCATTTTATACGGTATAAACTGGGTTGGAACAGTTCATAAAGCGTAAACTGTCCCAACCCAGTTTATACCGTATAAAATGGGTAGCTATTAAATTCATTCCTTAAATACAAGATAAAAAAAGTTCTTTACGAAATTTGAAATACTGCACTTAAATACTTTGAAAATTGGTTTGCCTATATCAAGTTAACGTTGTGTGTTAAGTTTAGCGCTTAAAACTTTAGTATTGGTATTTAAATACCCTAGTATTGGTATTTGTTATACACCAAAAAGTGTATTAAAGCAGACGAAGTATTCGTGCACAAATAACAGATTGTTGTACGTGATATTAAATATATATAGCTTTATTCTCTTGATATTATATATACACCTGTACATACTATACTTAACATAATAAATAAAAACAAAATGTAGAATAAATGTATATACGTAATAGGTTTTTAATTATAAATTTTACATTTATGTTGCTATTTGAAAGTAAACTTAGCATATCAAAAAAAAATAGTTATGATTATTATATAGTCTATTTATAGTCCCTATATAATCTATACAAACGCAAACAGTTCATAACACTACATATTCACCGGATTTGAGGCCGTATTCACCGGAGGGTCAATGCACGTGCAACGGCATTGTGACGTCACAATCAAAATATCAAACAACGTTGTAAAGAATGGTTGCAACGGCCGCTGCGAGCTACGTATCTGTGCAGAAAACAATTATTCAAACCTATTTCAGGTTTATTTTTTAACATCTGGACGTCTTACACTTAGCAAAACTCGGAAAGGAAAACACGGAGGTTACAAACAGTAATCTGGAGATTTTTTTTTATTTTCAACAATGGAAGATCGCAAATGAAAATGGTGTCGTCATACAGCCTTCAATGTCTTATCATTTCAAATCCCGACTATATAATAAAACAATTATGGACTCTTTTGGTGTTGAATATGGTTTGTTATTCACCAGAAAAAATAACTAAATTTACCTCGGCTTCGCCTCGGTCAATATAAATATTTTTCTGATGAAT